CGGAGCAGGAAACGGAATGGTCCAGTGCTGGGCTGGAGCCCAGGGAGACCGCCTCTTAACCAGGCCCTGCTGGAGCTGCCGCAGCCCGCGTAATAGCACTGGATCCGAGCCTTACTCAAGTGACTCCAGCTCTCTTCCGGTCACAAGCTTTTTATGTTCCAGAGAAGCTGAAAGTCATTATCAGAAGATGTGACAAACAGTCCGCTTAGACACCTCTCAGACAAACCCTCTTGGTCGGCATTGCCTCTCTCTCACCCTGGCCCAGCAGGGGCAGGACCATCCACACTCAGCCAGCTGGGGCTGCAGAGCTTTGGAGCCCTGGCTTCCACACTCTGTGTGCTCACTGCAACCACCTCCCCACCCAGACTGGGCGATGCTGAGGGCAGGGATGTGTCTCATTCCCTGGCGTCCCCAGTGCCGGGTGTGGCACAAAACAGACGCCTAGTGAAGATGTGTTGATCCGATGGGTCAACCTTACACTCTGTCACTCCTGCAAGCTGCCCATCTTCCAGCTTCCACAGCTGGACCACACGTGTGCCCTGTGAAGTGGGTCACCTACTGATGCAGCAGGATACAGGGAAAGGAGCCCTGGGCTGGGACTGAGAGACCAGGGTTCTTGGATCCTGGCTCACTGGGTAATCTTGGGTCAGTCCCCACACTTCTTCGTGCCTCTGGCTCCCCCACTGACCTGGCAGGGTCCCCCGACAGAGCTGGTCTGTAGCCCCCAGCCTCTCTAGGCTTTGTACTGTTGGTTGAACTTCTGCCGGCGGACACAGCAGCAGGTGGCCAGCGTGGTGAGAAGGATGGCACACACCAGGGTGAAGGTGAGGATGATGATGAGGTTGATGTTCTTGAGCCCCCCCTTCTCACAGTCCTCTGGACGCACGTGACTCAGGGACACCTCCTCCTGGGAGCCGAAGCGGCAGATCAGGTCCTGGGTGGCGTCCACGTCCACACGGCCCTGGTGCAGCTGGGCCGCCAGCCAGCCGTTGCCGCAGCAGCTGAGGGGGGTCCCCTGCAGGTAGAGGCGCCGCAGGCTGGTCTCCAGGCCGCCCATGGCACTGCCCGGCAGGAGGCTGAAGCTGTTGTTCCTTAGGTCCAGCACCTCCAAGGACACAGCCTGCGTCCAGGTAGGCAGGTGGCTCAGGCGGTTCTCTGCCAGATTGAGCCGCTTGAGGCAGCTGAAGCAGGGCAGGTCCACCTGCAGGATGGCCAGCCCGTTGCCCTGCAAGGCCAGGACCTCCAGGGAGCCCTCCAGGCCCGCCAAGGCCCCTGTGGCCACATCCAGCCCAGGGTTGGCAGAGAGGTCCAGCTCGGTCAGCGGAGTGTGGAGGAAGGCACCTGCCCGGAGCGTCTCCATCTCATTGTCCGCCAGGTTCAGGACGCGGAGGGAGGAGACGCCAGAGAAGGCCACACAGCCCGCGGGTCGAGGCTCACCTGGGCCCCCGCAGGGGCTGACCCGGTTCCCCTGCAGGTTGAGCCTCTGCAGGCTGGCCAGGCCGGCGAAGGTGTACGGGGGCAGGTCCCGCAGGGCGTTGTCCTGTAGGAGCAGCGTCTGCAGAGACCCCAGAGCCCTGGCACCCAGCTCCAGCGTCTCCAGCGCATTGTGGCTCATGTCCAGGAGTGCGAGGCAAGGCAGGGAGCCCAAGGCCCGGGCCTCAAAGGCCCGCAAGCAGTTCCGGCTGAGGTTCAGGAAGCGCAGGGAAGTCAGGTGCTCAAAAAAGCCCTCGGGGACGAGCTCAATCTCATTGTAGCTCAGATCCAGATTCAAGAGCTGAGAGAGGGGCTGGGTGCTGGCGTTGCGGCCCGGGTTAGAGAAGGGCAAGGCGGACCAGCCCTCGGAAGGCGCGTGAAGGCCCTCGCCGCCCTGGGGCGGCCCCGGAGGGAGGCGGATGAGGTTGTTAGACACGTTCAGGTAAATGAGTCTCGGAAGTGCGGCCAGGTCGGGGAAGTGGAGCAGTTTGTTCTCCCGCAGGTCGAGCCAGGCGAGCTGATACTGGGCCCGGGGCTCCGGAGCCGTCTGAAAGGCCTCGATACTGTTGCAGCTCAGGTCTAGGACCCGCAGCTGCTGGAGGCTGAAGTCGGAGATGCAGGTGAGGGAGTTCCTGGAGAGGTTGAGGTGTGCCAGGTGGGGCAGGGCCTCGAAGGCTCCGTCCTCGATGTCCATCAGCACATTGCTGTGAAGGTCCAGCCGCTCGAGCGCGGGCGTGCCCCAGAAGGTGTGGCGGCCCAGGCGCGTCAGGCTGTTCTCCGCCAGCGAGAGGCTGCGCAGGGCGGGCGCCTCCGCCAGCAGCCGCTCCGCCAGGCCACTGTACAGGCTGTTGCCAGACAGGTCCAGGGACGTCAGGTGCGGCAGGGGACCCAGACCCCCGGTGCTCAGCGCCGTGCCCACCGCCAGGCGGTTGTGGGCCAGGTTGAGGTGCTCCAGGCGGGGCAGGGCCTGCAAGACCCCTGGCTGGAGGAAGCTAATCTCGTTGGCGCTCAGGTCCAGGTAAAGAAGCGCTGTGTAGGAGCCCAGGGGCGAGGCCAGGACGCTCCGCAGCTGGTTCCCAGACAGGTCGAGGACCTCGACGGCCCGTGGGAGCGCCGAGGGGACCTGGAGTAGGCCAAGGCCCCGGCACAAGACTTCCTTGTCCAGCTGGGGGGGCGGAGGGCAGGGAGAGCAGCGGGCATTAGTGGGTGCTGTGGGAGGGGCAACCAGACATGCGCCTCTAGGAAGTATGACTGGAGCCGCCACCAGGCCTGGCCAGGCCTCTCCTCTGTCCTCCCAGCGTGCTCACCGTCCTCCCCCGCAGCCTAATCACCCCATGTCTGCATGACCCCTACTCTGCTCCCTGTCTCCGGTACCCAGTACGGTGGTGCTGGCATCAGGGAGGGACTCAAGGAAGCTTCGATTGGTAGACAGACAGATAGATGATAGACAGAAGGACAAATGCACTAACAAAATACTCTATACTGATCATTATCCCATTTTAGAGGACACTAAGCCATGTATCACCTAGAGTGCCCCAGAGCCAGTGAGGAGCGGGGCCAGCTGGGACCCAGGCCTCCTGGTTCCACATCCCAGTTTCCTTCCATGGACCCAGAGAGTTAAATTTACCCAGCTGATGTTCTACTAGAAACCACTTTGGGAGAAATGTTTCCAAAAGGGGAAAAATGCTATTTGCACTCCTGTCATCGGTGTTAATTTTGGTCTCTCACCCTCTCAGATCTCATTCAAGCCCTCACTCCACAGGGCAGAGCTCGGGTCCCAGAGCCTGCCTTCCTTGCTGACACTCACCAGATGACCTCGTTCTGCTGCTGCCCCCACCCCCAACAATGGCTTCACTTTGCATGGTCCAGTCCAGATGGGCCCCTGGAGATGGGGTAGGGAGCAGGAAAAGATGACCAGAGTCTCAACCCACATTCTTTGATGACAAGACTGATTTTGCTGTGTCACATTACCACTCTGGTTTCTTATCCAGAATGTAACTCATCCTTCCCCAGCACCCATTCAGCATTTTATATTTTATTTCGCATTTTCAGACCCCTGGTCTCGCTGGATCTTCACAATAGCCTGCCCATCAAATCTGATCACCCCTCTTTAAGAACCCCAAGGTTAGAGAGGGGAAGGGAGGCCCCAGAATCATCCAGCTGATGAGGAACAGAGCTGGCTTTTGAACCCCAGTCTCTTAACAACCAAAGACCCCACTTTTGTCCCTCCATCACATGTGCCTTCAGGGGCCAGAATTCTTTCCATGGAAATGCAATCTCCCTCTGTCTTTTCCCACACACCAGGAACCCCAGCCTTTTCCAGCGAAGGCTCTGGCTTCCATAACCACCAAGCTCAGGCCCACTCCACCCTGGCCTCTCTGTCTCCACTGACCCCTTTCCGCCAGCCAAATGCATGGCAACTGTTCAAAAACTCCACTCTGACCATGCTGCCCTTGGCTTAAACCCCTTCCGGGCAAAGTCCAGCACCCTGAGCAGAGTCCAAGGCTGTCTGTGGCCCCTGCTGACCTGTCCCCTTTCCTCCCAACCCACTCCAGCCCAGCCCACACCTGCCCACTGCCCACTGTGCCCTCCCACACCCACCTCTGGGCCTCCTCCTTGCTGTTCCCTGTGCTGGTTATGTTCTTCCCAACCAGATCAGCATGGTGAACTCTGTGTGCTGAGCTCCAAGGTCTCCTCCACCTGGAAGCCTTCCCTGACTGCCGGGCAGGTCGGGGCCTCCTCTGGGCTCTCACAGCCCCTGTGCTTCCTCTCTCATAGCTTTGGCCCCCTGAATTGTGACTGTTTGTGTGCAGACCTGCTAGACAGTAAGTTCAGGGCAAACAGGGTTTGACTGAGTGACTGTTGTGGACCTGGGCGATAGAAAGTGCTCAGTACACTTTTCAGTGAATGAAAGAGTCACAGACATCATCAGCTTAGTAAAAGTCTGAGGGATTGACTGAATCACCTTTCTGAAAGGAAAAGAAAAGAGATGATGCATATATTCAGACTAGAGTCAAAGACCGTTAGAGCAAAAGGGGTCCAGCCCACCCACTTCCCAGATGGGGAGACTGAGACTAAAGGTGGCAGTGACCTGCACGAGGTCACAGCGAGTCAGTGGCTGAGCCGACAGGGCAGGAACACCAGCCTGGGTGTTCCCTGCCTGGCCCAGCTCTCAGCTTCCTCCCAAGAGCTTCAGGGTGAAGCGGGGCGGGGTGGGGGAGGGGAGAGGAACGGACTGCCCTCCATCAGGCAGTGCGACTCTTCCAGCTCCACGCGGCTTCCAACTCCACGGTACTGCCCTACTCAGAGGCCCGAGGACACCCCTGCAGTTGGGCACCCATGCAAACTGGAATCCCACCCCGGCCACCCTGCCAGACCTGCTTGGCTCCGTACCCCTTCCTCCCTCACAACCGTCTCTGCCAGCTGGGGCCACTGGGCACAGCCTCCCTATCCGTATCCTCAGCTCCGCAAACCATCCTGATTAAAGAAGAAACAGCAAAATGAACACAAACACAGTGTGTGTTGGGGGATGGGGCTTAACCCACCTGCAAGCCCACACCCCGTTTCACCCCAGAGGCAATACTCAAAGGCTCCCTGGGGTACCAGCTCCTGAGAGCTGAGCCGGGACACAAAGCTGGCCAAGTCCAGCACCAAATCCTGCTTTCTGCCCAGTGCCCAGGACCCCTGTCACAGAGGCCCAGAGGGACTGCTACAAGGCACAAGGCAGGGCTGCCCAGCTCTCCAGTCCAGTCTAGGAAGGAGCTTGAAGGCGTGGGCAGCTCTCAGAACCCCATTTGTCGGGTACCCACCACTCCCTGAGCTCCAAGCTGAGTGACTTATTTGGGGAGGGGTCTTGGGGGCATCAGCCCTTAATCAAGTTCAGAGCTTCCCCGATGACCCCCTATCCACTCTCTGGTATGCCAGGACTCCACTGTCCAGCTTTTTTTTTTTTTTTTTTTTTTTTTTTTAGAGGGAAGAGGGTGTCACTCATCACCATTTTACCACCTGCACATAGAAGGGAAGCAGGGTAGAGAGAGTTACCCGGCAGTGGACAGCATGAGCTTGGGAGAGATGGGTTCGAATCTTGGCTCTGTTACCTCCTATCAGTATGATCTTGTGGGTCCCATCTCTTCTCTCAGCCTTGGTTTCCTCAGCTGAAAAGAAGAGTTTTCTCTCATAAAATGAGAGAAAGCCCTTAGCGTGGAGCAGGCCCCTTGTTAGCCCTCGGCATGTGGCAATTTGTTTTTACTATTTTGAAAAGCATCAAAACCGCTTCCATGGGAGTTCAGAAATTGCTTTCCTGCCTGTTACCTCATTTGCCCCAAATCCAAAGCCCACCCAGTTCCCCTCTGCCTGTTGGGTGGCCCAGACCCTTTATCTCTCTGAGTCTATTGCCCCAGGTAGATGTGGGGCTGCATTTGGTGACGTCTGAGGCCTTCTCTGCCTGTTATTCTGGGTGCTGGGAATCCCAGAAGGGCTCCAAGGAGTAAGAAGTGAGGTGGCAACAGCAGGACACTGCAAACCCCAGGGAAGGGTTGCAGGGCCCTGGCTGCCAGCTCATCCAGCCTCCAAAAGCAGCTGCCCATCTTGTGTCGTAAGCTCCCAGTCCCAGGTCCAGGTGGGGCCACTGGAGGGCCTGTCCCTTCCCCAGCCCAAGCTCCAGTCTTGGCTTCAATGATTGCCCAGCCTTACGAGTGGACCTAGAGGGTTCCTTTTCTCTGTACCCCACAGGGTCACAGTAACCTCAGGGCTAGTCTCCCTGACTCCTGGCAGAAAAATGGAACAAAGTGAATCAAACCTGGTCACTGCCCTTGAGAAGCTCTTGGTCTGGTAGCTGAGACAGGCGTGGACCATTCACCAACTAGCCTATGCACTCAATATTGAGATGGAAGGAAGCTTAGGGCTGTGGGGGCCCCAAAAGGGATCAAACAGAACCAGGTCGGCCTGGAAGGGGTCAGGGGAAGCTTCCTGGAGAAGGCAGCATTTGACCCCGGCACTAACAAGTGAGAGGCATCACAGCAGAGATGTGGCAGATGGGCTCGAGTTAAGGAGCCCAGTTAGGAAAGGGGATTCATCCCCCGAAGGGGCCTAGTACAGAAGAGCCTTTCCCAGATGCCCACTCCAAATTCCCTACACATATACCTATGCCTCATCAGCCAGCTAGACCCACTGCCCTTTGGGGGCAGCTTGAAGGGATAGAGTCCAATAATGGCCCTAGTTGAATGACCTTGGACAAGTTACCTAACTTCTCCAAGCCTTAGTTTCCAACTCTATAAAATTGGAATAATGGTACTTACCCAGCAGGATTAACAGTAAACAAGGCATTTAAACATTCTAGTAGGCGCTCATTAAATGCAAGGTTTAAAGGCATTAAATGCATTCCCCTGCCTTTTCTGACCCCTCTAGCCTCTGGCTTCTGGGGCTGGGGCTGGGGCAGTAGGACACCCCCGGGCAGGGGGTAGGGGGAGACAGGGAGTTCTCCCTGCCTAGGCAGAGCTTCTTACCTTCTTACAGGGCACCTTGTCTCGGTGTTGGGAGGTAGCCAGGCCCAGGGTCAGCACGGCCAGAAGCAGCAGGATCCGGTGGCTCATGGCTCTGCACAGGGCAGGAGGAAAGGGGAAGGCTGTAAGACCACAGGCTCCTTCCCACCGCTCCTTCCTGTCTGCACCTGCCCTCAGGGAAACCCAGACCACAGCTGTAGCTGGACCAAAGGTGCTGTGAATGGGGCACCTTGTGAAGGGGATGGGAAAAAGGGCTGCAGCCCATCACAAAGGGCCTTCAGTGCCAGGCCAGGGAGCTAGGCCATTACCCTGGACAAGAGTTTTTAAGCAGTGGGTGACATGGTCAGATTTGGGTTTCAAAAGACCCTACCTGGAAGACAGCCTGGAGGAGGTGAGCAGGAGGTAGAGGGACCCTAAGGGCTGCCCTGGCCAAGCTCAGGGCTGGGGTGGGGTGAGGTGGGGAGCTAGGCCTCTGACACTTGACACAAGCAGGTCCCCCCATCCTAGCTCTTCAAGCCCCAAACGGAATTCCTCAATCCCCCCACCCGCAGACCTTTATCTTGCCCTTTCTCTTTTGATTTTCTGGTTGTCGAGTCCCTGCCATTGTTTGAAGGCTGGGCCTGGAGCCTTGACAGGAAGCCCCGCCAGGAGGCCTGCCCTGCCCCCAGCACTGCGGGCTGTGGACTTCCCCAGGAACAGGCTGCCAGGCCCTTAACTTTCACTGAAGCCACCGCCCACGCAGTGGGACACCCAGGCATGCTGGGCCAGCCCTTCTCTCTATGAGCAGCGAGGCTGAGGTTGAGGGGGACCACAAAGCCCTCAGGAGGGTCACATCCCAGTGCTGCTAGGGGCTCATTCACTGAGAACCTGGGCCAAGTGCTAGGAATACACAGCTCAATCCATCAATTTCATTCATTCATTCATTCATTCACTCACACCCTTACTGAATGCCTCCTCTTGTCTGGTTCTGTCCTGGGAACTGGGGACACAAATAAAGGCACAGAAGAGACCATAATACATACAAAACATTAACAAGGAGAGACACATAATGCCCTCCAAGAGCACTGGACCCAGTCACCCACACCAGACTGCTCCCTCTGTCTCCTCCACTTACCTGCTGTGTGACTTTGTACAAGTCACTTCACCTCTCTGAGCCTCAGTTTCCTCTTCTGAGGCTAATGCCAACCTTGAAGTTTTGTTAAAGATCAAATGAGACATATTCTACGCCACGTACAGAGCCCTCATTATGCACCAGGCACTCTTCTTGACACTTTACATGTATGAACTCACTTAATCTTTCCAATAATTCAACGACTTGGTTCCATGATCACCATTCCTACTGTGCATACAGGAAAACTGAGGCTCAGAGAAATTAAGCAACATGCCCAAGTTCACACAGCTAACAAGTGGCAGGCCCGGGAACTCGGGCTCCTGGGTCTGTGCCCTTAACCTCTACACTATAAGGTCTCCTGCAGGTGCTCAATAAATAAGTGCTGAATTGTGACTCTGAGGGATGTTTTGGAAGAGGCATTTATAGAACCTTTATGGCTGAGTCTTTACTGTTAGAACCCATAAACATCCTTGCTATGAATTTTAAATGAAGGTGGGTGCTCTGAGGTCCTTTCTTGTTCAAACAGGCAAAGGCCCGAGCCGAGCCGTGTCTTTTAAGCCCTGTTCCCTGGGTTCCCCCGGGGCCATGGACCCCCTGCCCCACAGATGTCCTCCTCTCACCTGCATTACACGTTGGGTTTTCAGAGGAAATTTGGTTCTGCTGTTTAAAAAGCAGAACATCACCACCCTTTTGAATGCCAGTGTACTCAGAACCGAGTGGAAATCCCTCAGCGGGGCCTTCGAGGCCCTTGGGGAGTGCTCCCTGCCCAGCCAGCTCTTCTCTCCAGCTTCATTTCTCACTGTCCCTTCTCCCACTCTGTGTTCTGGAAGCCTCATATTTCCTTCAGTTCTCTGAGCATCTTTACACTGCCCCAAACCTTCACTTCCTCCCCTCTCTTGGGCTGAATACCTCCTCATCCTTTGGGTCTCAGCCTAGATGTCACCTCCTCCAAGAAGCCTTCTCTGGTTTCCCAAGTCTGGGCTATATATTGGCACCAAGCACTTCATCACTCCATGGTTCCCTCCCCTTTACCACCACCCCCACCACCACCAGGGGAAGTGCCCCCCAGGGCAGAGGGGCCTCACTCTCCTCTGGGAACCATCTTACACTGTGCAGGCTGGGGAAGGCGCTGAGAATTGACGTGAGGCGCCTCGGTGACATGGTGACGCTGCTGAGAGCAGTTTTTCTCCTGGACTCTCCCTTCACCTCCCTGCCACACTCCTTCCCCCCATCAGCGGGTTCTGTCTGCTTTCCCTAAAACACAGACTCTGGATCTGCCTACCTCCCTCCTCCATCACTGCCACAGACTGAGGCACCACCACGACCCTGGGCCTCGACCCCAGCAACAACCTGACCTCTTTTAGTCTGTCCTAAGCATGGCAGCATGAGTGATGTCTTTAAATCATGTATCAGATCATGAATCTCACTGCTTGAAAACCTCCCATAAAATCGAAGCTTATACAATCTCCTCTCTGACTCCATCTACCATGTGCTCTTCCCTCACCAAATTCTCGCTTTCTCACCATCCCTCAAACACAGCAAGTGCATTCTTGCCTCAGGGCCTTTGCCCTTGCTGCTCCCTCCACCTGGAATGCCCTTGCCCAGATCTGCACGTGTTTTATTGTTTTCCTCTCATTGATCATTTCCCGATCGTTTATTGCTTATTCTATGAGAACAGGGGTCTATTAAGCGGTGCTCACTAAAAGTCTACTGAACAAACAGCAAAGTGAGGGGTAGCAGTCCACGGCAAAGGGCTAAGCGGTGAGTGCGAGGTGAGGATAAGGAAGGATCTGGATTAGTTCTGAACCTGAGGGCACTGCTGCCCAAAGGGGCACTCGTTTCCCCCTCCCCTGCCTGCCAAATTCCACTCTATCCCTGAGGTGAGCATCTGAGCCTCCAGGAGGGCCCCTCCCTGCAGCACGTGGAACTCCACCCTGCCATCTAACAGAAAGGGGCCCCTCGGCAGTGGACACCCTTGAGCAGTGCCCTAGACACAGTGTGGAGAATTTGAGGGTTACTCGCTCTCAAGAGGGAGGATTGGGATAATTGAGACCCAGGCTCCCATCCAGACTCTGCTGCCCACCAGCCCTGCTCCCTGCGGCAAGTCCCTTAAGCTTTCAGGGTCTCAGTGTCCCACCTGTAGGGCAAGCAGCCTCGTTCCTGTTTTGCCACTGTTTGACCCCAATGGTTGTGATGACCAAGCTGAGAATGGCTGTGAAGGCACCCTAGACACATATTGTCTTTCCCAGCTGGGACAAACCCACAGGGTTGAGCAGCCCAGGCGAGGTAAGGAGTGCCGAAGAGGGAGGCCCCAGGCCAGCAGACAAGTGGCCTAGGCAAGAGGACGCAGGAGACATCTTAGGACACTGACTGGGGGGAGAAGTGCCAAAGAATATCCCTGTGTGTGCGCGTGTGCGCGCACACAATGTGGGGAGAGAGAGAGAGAGAGAGAGAGAAAGAGAAATGGGGCGGAGGGCAACACCTACTACCATAATAAGCCCACCCCTAGTGTTTAAGGATGTTAGATACTCTTCTAAGCACTTGACCTATATCATTTCATTTAATTCTCACAACAAGCCAGTGAAGCAGTTACTATAATTTCCATTGTACAGATGAGAACACTGAGGCTCAGAAAGGTGAAGTGACTTACCCCATAGTTACCCAGCTCATAAATGTTTTGGGATTTAGCCCCAGGTCTGTATGACCCAAATGCTGGGTTTTCTCCAGCATGTGCTGAGCTGCCGGCCCCCTATAGAGTTTGTCCATGAGGAAAATAAGGCGCAGAGAGGTGACTTACTCAAAGTCACAAAGGCAGTAAATGGCAGAATCAGGATCAGAATCCAGCCTGCCTGTCTGCCTCCAGATCAAATGTTTCCACAACACCAGGCCAAGATCTCCCTCTCTAACCCCCTCCAACCAACCCCCAACCCACCAACCCCAGCAGACAGGCTCACAGTGCTGGGCTCTAGGGTGCTCCTCTCCCTCCTCTCAGCCTGGGTCACTGGCAGAGTGGGGTCCTGGGAGAGCTGCTGTGGACGTTCCCAGCGAGCAGTGAATCACTAAGGGCAAGCCCCATTCTGGAGACATGTGCATCCCACGGGGGAATTAGACCTTAACCCAAAGGAATGTGGCTGTGATGGCGGAATTTCAGGCAGCTGAGGGTGGGGGTGGGGGTCCCTCACGTCTTACCACCCATGAAGAAGGCTGGCTGAGGAACTCCTTGGAGGGAGGTGGGTGCTACCACCACCCCCATCCCTGCCCCTAGAGATGGGCAGGCTATCTGGTGCGGTGGGATGGGAAGACTCACGCCCGGCCAGGGTCAGAGGGCAGTAGCAGACCAGATTCAAATCCCGAATTGCCCTTGACTAGCTGTGTGTTCCCTGCTCAAGTGCTGGCCTTTTAGCGGTTGTTTTCCCATCTGTCAAATGGGACCGCCTGCCTCGCCCTTCGCGGGAAAGATCCGCTGAGCTAGGAGCCTTGGAGACTTCTGGAGGCAACCCTGGCTCCACGCGCAAAGCAGGGGGCGGTGGCGGGAGGGGACTGTTGAAGTTCCGCGTCTCGATGGACTAGTCCCAGCCCAGCTCCGCGCCGGGTGCTCGAGAGGGGCGCGGGGCCGCCGGTTCCCCGAGGGGGCCGGCCAGCCTCGCCCTCTGGGAGGCTCCTACCTGGCTCAGCGCGGCCGCTGCTCCTCTCCCGGGCAGCCCCGGCACATTTTGCGCAAACCTGCCCTCCCCGTCCCACCCCGCGCCAGACCCCGGGGTCACGGCCCGAGGAGGCGCACGGCCGCTCCACCGCCCCACGGGAACCGGACCCGCGAGAGGGCAGCTCGGGCTCCAATTTAAATACCTCTCCCGCCGACCCGCCCCACCACGCCCCACCCTCGGCCCAGCCGCGGGGTCCTAGCGCCGGGCCGGCACGCCCCCGTGTGACTCGGTTTATCCGGAACCCGCGAGGGGGTGAAGCTTTTTCTTGACGCTGAAACCCGGACTGGGAAGGGGCGTGTCGAAGAGGGCGGGATGAAAGGGCGGGGAGGGAGAGGGGTCGCTAAGGAAGCGCTGTGCCAGCCAGGCCGCGCCGGGCCGCCGCACGTGCAGTTCGTGGCCCCGCGGGGTCCAGGGGGGCGGGTGGCTCTAGCAGCCGCGGGTCCGCAGAGGAAATCCGGCCTGGCCCCGATTTCCCCCGGGCCTGGCCCCGATTTCCCCCGCTGTCGGCGCCGCCGCACTTAGCCGGGGAAACACGAGAGGTGACGGCGGGGCTGAACGCGGAAGGAAATGACCCTTCGCTGGCCCTGGGGTGGCCACAGAGGGGGTTCCCCACACCGTAGCCGTCCCATCTGGTGAGTCCAGCCAGGTCACTTCTCCTCTCTGGACTGTGCTCTAGTGTCCAGACTCTTCCTCCTTCATCATCTCCTGGGCCCTTAAACAGCCCTGTGAAAAGGTCCCATCAAAGCCCCCAGAATTCAGGTGGAGAAACAAGCTATGGATGGGGTCATCGAGTATAAATAAAAATCACTTGTCTGGGACTAGTAAGGTCCCCATTTATATTTAGGGAAACCGAGTCTCAGAGAGGTTAAATAGCCTATCCAAAGTCACACAGAATATAAGAGACAGGGATTTCCCCCCTGTCTGTCCACAAAGCTAAGCCCTGCCCAAACTGGGTACACTTTTCCAGCACTATGTTAGTCAGGTTGTCTTTGAGTGCTGTGCAAAAAGTAGCACGGTGGTAATATTGTCTTTTACGTGGAAGGTTGAGGCGCATCTTCCCCAAAACCACCTCCTCTTCTAGATGCCTTGGCCCTGCCAGATCACAGCTGCCCTGCCCTGCCCTGCTGGGTGTGGACCTGAGGAAGGGGAGCCTAGGAGAGGAGGGTCACAGCTGTCCTTCAGGCCCTGGTTCCAAGGGTGGAAGAGAATTCCTCCTCCAAAATGTTTCTCTTCCATGATGGTCACCACCCCTGAGAGTAGTACAGCATGTCCCATTTTACCGGTGGGAAAGTGACCACCCAAAGCTTTGTGGTAAATCAAGGTGAAGCTAGACTTAGAAGCTGGGTTCCCTGAATTCTATATAGATGGCAGCTGCATTTCCTTCCTCCCATCTGGCTTACTGTGGGGACAGGACTGGGGAGATGGGGACCGCTCAGAGAAGACAATCTATGACAGCTAGGAGGGCAGGGTAGGGGTGGGGCAGGGCCTAACCTAAACTCAGGAGATCAGGGAAAGCTTTCCTAAGGAGGGACCTGAGCTGCTATGAGGGCATAGGTAGGAAAGGTCACAGGACCTGGGAAGGGTGTCCACACCTTCCTCTCCCTCCCAGCCACCGGGAACCTCAGATCTATGCTGAGGGAGGGCCCAGCTGGTCATCGCAACGCCCTCTCCCCACCTCGCTGGCATTAGTCCTCATCTGGTCAAATGGAACCTCGGTTTCCGCATCTGTAAAATGGGAAAGATAGTAGCTTCTTCTTGGGTTGGTGCCAAAACTAAGAATAACGGACTTAGCCTGGGGCCTGTACCCAGTGGGTGTTAGGCAACTTCTGGCTGTCTTTACTGTGACGATTAATGATGCCTCTGCCACACCCTGTGGGCTTCCTTTTCCAGATCCTTGTCCAAAGGGCCAAATGTCCAGGAAGTGCTTCGCAGCAGCCCTGCAGCATGGGCAGAACATGGATGAGTTGGACTCAGACAATTCCTGGGCTCTCCCACCTGACCTGCTCCCCCCACATCCAGCACCACCTCACCCTTCCCTGAGCTGCTGCCTGCAGAAACCGCTGGGCTGGCGCAGAGCTCTGGCTGGGGCTGGGGTAGGGCGGGGCTGGGGCTATGGCGGGCTCGGGGGAGAGCGACCTACCTCCCACACACCCCCAAACGCTGCGGTTGTGGTTAGTCAGTTCACAGGGGTCCACTTCACTCAGTGCCTGGATGGGGCTCCCCAAGAGTTGGAGACAGATGGGCAACCAAGCGTGCCTACCCGCTGCTGATGCCTCTTGGGACTGGGGGCTGAAATCGGGAACCCCACGTGCTCAACGCCCCTTCCTTCACCTTTTCACTTCTTCAGCGTTCACGTTGCTGTGGGACTTTTGGCAGTTTGCTTGATCTTTCTGACCTCAGTTTGCTGATCTGCAAAGTGAGACTAATAATAACACCTGATGTTCTGGCTTGTTGTGAAGCCCAAATTGCAGCAACGTGTGTAAATACCTGGTCGGGGGCCTGGCCTGCGGTCCTTGCCCAGGAAACATGACTTCCCTTCCCTGGCAGGTCCCGGAATCAAAACATACAGGACCTACCCTTGTGGAGCTCCCAGACCAGATGGGAGGCAGATGAGAACATCGGATGATGGAGTCCAGAAAACTCAAAGGCCAAGTCCGGGAGCCGGAGCTGGATATGAAGGGAGAGGAGAGGTGAGAACTGCGCAGGGCTGGATTTGCCTGGCAGCCATGTGGAGGGTGGCTTTCTTTTTTTTTTTTTTTTTTTTTTTTTTTTTTTTTTTTTG